ATACATATATATATATACAGTATATATACATATACAGTATATATACATATATATATATATACACATATATATAGATATATCTCTATATCTATATATACATCTATATCTATCTATATATATATATATATATATATATTTTTTTTTAACTAGTTAATAGCAACCGTAAACAGATGCTGAAAATCATAATATCACAACGTATTGTTGGGCTCGACTCTTAAAACATGAACAATAAATGTAGGGATACAACGATTTTGTCTGCCAACAGTCAATAAACATCACTCCTTGTAGTATTGTTTTAGAATCCTAATCCAATCACACAGCAGTATATCTCAAAACAAACCCCTCCCTCAGAGGTGCGGTGCCACAAAGTTCACACAACACAACAAAAGATAAAGTGGGGCATCTGAAACACCGTTTCATTGTTGATCCTCGGAGGAAGAGAAAGATGCTGTTGGCCTGCACTCGTGTGCTCTGTGGTCCATCGTTCAAATGTGTGTATCATGTTCTGCACAACCGCAGAGCTCCTCTTTTGGAACAGCTGTGCCCTCTGGCTATAAAGCTCTCCTGTGCAACAGCTTGGTACTCACTAACACACACATACAAGTACACATGCTTACATAACTCCCTCAAACTACTTAACATTTCTCTTTCAGCAGAGTTTCTGCAGCACTGAGTGAGGTTAACTGAGAACAGAGGGCAAATGCGGTAGCTGTTCTCATTCAAATGTTTGGTTCAAAGCCGAACTGTCGCCATCACTGGAGAAAAAGTGTAATAAAACCCCAATATGTTGCTGCTGGTCCCCATGAGGCTGCATAGACTTTAATTCTCATCCAACCGCCCACCTTATCAGTCCCGAAGGAGGCTCTGTGAGCAAAGCCAATTTAATTGAAACAACAGGGGAAATTTCAACGCTTGGCTAGAGCGAAAGTGAATGTAGTGCAGATACAAAACAAAAGCTCATTGGGACATCCTACCTACAACTACTTATGCTTGATAGTAAACCAACACAGACGTTTTGCATTCTGTGCACTGTATGGTATTCTCACTTAAAGCACGGCGAGATATAATGCAGTGCCATAGGCAAATATCACAGACACCATGAACTACATGTGTAAAATCTGTACTAATGCTGCATTCACATGGAATCAGGCAAACGGACGTCATCATCTGGACAGCAAGGGCAAACCAACACGCACGCATTGCAACATGTTGCTATGGTTGTGTTGTATTGTTTACAAATAATAATTATTTTTATTTTATGTAATTATTCTTATACTTTGGACAGCAATGCCATCTACCGTTAACATTGCCCGGTATTCTCTGCCGGCCTCAACTAATTTTACTTTCTTGCTCTTGTCCAATAAATTGAAATGCTGCGTGCGGATAACCTCTTCATGTGACTGCAGCATAAATCTAATATACGTAGGTTATCTTGACTCTTGGCCGTATAGAACGAGGTGTTTTATGCAAGTTTGCCGTAGAATCTGTTACTCTCCTGTAAATATGCGCAAAGAATGCATCTCAAATGTGCAATTAATTATGTCGCAGCAGAGCAAGACCTTGATAGTAGTCCTAGAGCCCAGTGAATCAAGGACACCTGCTACAAAAGCCATGGTCTTTGAGGAGTTTACATGTTGAAGTCGTATAGCAGCAGGTCCAGACTCGGCCAGGCTTTATCTCACCTTGAAGGTTCCCGGTTCTTTGATATCCAGTTGGGCCACATTCCAGGGCTTTATCCTCCGCCTCCCTCTTCTCGTCGCTGACGAGGAGCGTCGAGGAGAGGACAGCCAGAGGACCAGCAAGGCCAACATGAACCCAGCTACTATCCCATGCACCACCGCACATACATATGGTGGCACTGGAAGGACTATATACGAGAAGACCAACTGTGTCAGGAAGATGAGGCCGGTCACTGGCACGGACTCCAACTCCTCCTCCTCCTCCTCCTCCTCCTCCTCCTCATCCTCATCCTCTTTCTCCTCCTCCTCCTCTGAGTCAAGTTCACTACACAACCCAGTGCTACCAGTATGGGGCTGCCGGGACACGGGGCGGTCCCCATCTGGTGTTTCTGTATCGGTACATAACTCAAAGTCTTCACTGTAAAGTTCACAGAAGTCCTCGTCTTCCTGTCGAGCTACCAGGGCCGACATAGAGTAGCGGCTCAGAGTGAGGGAAGGGGATTTGGGGAAAGTGAACGAGGAGGCCTGGGTGAGGGCTGGGGCCGGTCCCAGTGACGGAAAGGAGAAAAAAACAGAGTCAGGTCCCTTCCCGGTGGGGGTTTCTTCCTCTTCTGCCACTTCCTCCTCCTTGATGCTATAGTTGTTGTTACCTTCTGTGTGTCCGTTTACCGCTCCGCTGAGCTCTGACGCACTCGAGGACAGCGATTTGGCCCGATGAGTAGCAACGGATCCCACGCCAGACTCATCCCCCATGATCTTACTAAAAAGCTGCAGGGGGTCTGACATCACCTCGGACAGCCGTCGCTTGGTATCCTCTATCCTGGCCTCCACCTCTTGGACCTTGAAGAAAGACCTGCCATCCGGGGACGTGATGGGGGAACAGGGCGCTGTTTTGGAGTCTCCGCCTGCTTGTGGGACAATGACGGGGCTGGAGCATAAGCGGGGCTGGGAGAACTGTTTAAAAAGCTGCATGTTGCGAGGTGGAGGCCGCTGGGATGGCTGTACTTGCTGTTGCTGATGAGGGGGGTGATGAAGATAGTGGTGAAGATGCCCTTCCTGATGTTCAGCCTTCGACGTGTCCGCGGAAAGAGACTTAACAAAAGATTTCATTAAGTGACGGTGCCGTGCGTGCGATGGCGTAACAGTGGCGGCAGCGGTTTCTCGAGACTCGACATCATTGGACAAGGACCTGACCAGGCTGAGGAAAGGCTTGGAGGAGGACATCGCTGCAGACTTGCAAGGGGAGGAGGAGCTGGAGCTCGTGGATGGGGGGTTGGCAGAGGGTCGTTCAGAGGGCCAGGAGGAGCTGGCAGGAGGGGTGGAGCTCAGGTGGGGCTGCGTGGAGCTGGGGATAATAGTCGTGGCTGGAGAGGGTGTGTGTGGGTCTGACGGTTGCACAGACAAGGTGGTGGATGAAACAGGGAGCACAGCAGCTCCAGAGGAGGTCTCGCCACCCGCAGATTCAAACAGCAGCTCCTCTTTTGCCTCCAAGCCTGTGGCGACGGACTGGTCATCAGCCCCTGAAGCTGCTAGACCTTGAAGCCCCCCTGCACCATCGAGCTCAGATTCAGCCCCAGCAGATCCAGGAGGCACGTCGTAGAGCTCCTCTTCCTCGTCGTCTTCCTCTTTCCCCAGAGCAGAGAAGTGGATGGTGATGGTGTCACGAGAGAGGGAACGCTGCACCTGCAGCTTGGGTCCGGGGGCGTGACGAGGGGGAGGAGTGTCAGCATGCTGGCCACTTCCCCTGCTGCCGCTGCCCTGAGTGCTCATCACCACCCTGCACAAGGCTCACAGCCTGCGAGAGACACAAAGAGAAAGTACACCGTTAATAACCACAGAAACATTGGTATGAAACGTCGGTGCAAGCCAGGAAGTTGACAAATTGCAGTGCAAATCAGCAATTTGATTAAATAACTTCAGAGACTCCTACACGATCTACAAACTCCATGCACATGCACACAGCCCTGCAGCTCTCTATTCATCCTAATGTGAGTAGACTGGACAGGTATGTCCGTGCTCTCCGATCCATTAGCCCTCATTATGCAAGGCTTTAGCTGACAGACAGAGTTGCTCTCAGGCCTGGCCTCTCTCTGTCTTACCAGCAGCCTACTCACTCACTAACCCCCACTATGGCAACATGATTAATGGGTTACTTCAGAACACATGCGCCTTGAGGAGATGGGCCTTCAGCATCTTTAGCTGTATTTAACTCCCCCCCCCCCTCCACGGGAGGCAGACTGCAGCTGGCTAAATGCTGTGAGGTGGTGAAGACGAGACAGGAGAAAACAAAAAGGAAGGCTGCTTCTCTGACGAGCGAATGTAAAAACATCCTTATTATTGAACTTAAAACTACATAAAGTTGATTATTTTGTCCAGGTGGTGGCAGTGCAACAAGCCGAAAAACACAACATTGACAGCGACATATTGTCGCCTTAGAAAGTTGATATGGCTAACATGTTAGCAACTTCTTTCCCCCATCCAGCAGATACAGAGCAACGTTAACATTCATTTGGAGTCATGTTTCTGGTCACCTGGATAATTTATGTCCAATACTTTGATGCTATGAATGTAGCTGTTAGAGTACTGTCCGTTCCATCGAGTGCTGCTGCTGGATATGGTGATAAATGAGAGCTGTGAGATCGAAGCAAAACAGTAAAGTTGCGATACATAAATCCAAAACAATGAGCTGAAAGATACTAAAATGCTGATTCTCGGTGGGTAACATCCTTCACATTACACATAATCATTGAACTCTTACTTCATATAAAAATATAAATTAGTGCAGCTTTAAACTGATGTGCTAAATTTAAAATGATGAACCTCAAAATGTGCTGCTTTCAATCAACAACAACAAAAATGTATTTTTATTCATTTATACTAATAGCTATAATATTGTTGCGATAATGCTCATTTAATTTCTTGTGTCCGTCATTTAGTCCTTAAATTGAATCTTTTACTGAGGCTATAACTGTCATGTCTTGCATTATTTCTGTGCTTTACGGGATGGTAAAAAGCATAAACATACACATAAATATAACAAACCCTCCTTCCCCTACCCACATATAACAATATGCAGGACATAATCACACAACAAAGCAGCCGTTAGGCTCTAGTGATCACAGGAACAAGGCGTCTATTGTGGAGTCCCAACTAAGCGGAACCACAGTCATTCATCATGCAGTGATTTCACTGAATGAGGCCTCGAGTTATTGTGCCGGTTTGTTCTTCCACATCGCCATGAGTCCATCATCCCTGGTTAGCATTATCAAACAGGCAGGGCAAAACAAGCACACACAGTAAGACACACACACACACACACACACTCACACACACACACACACACAGTCACTCTGCACGGTTGATAGAAATGTCCCGTAATGAAAGGAGAGAAACTACAGAGCAGTTAGCTTGTGTGATTGTCTGCATTTCTGAGAAAGCCCCAATGTCCCTCGGGGCTCTCCGGCTGGCACCGCATCTCCAGAGATTGTATTTGCCGGGATGGAATAACAGAGCATTTGACTTTCCCAGCCAGCCTTTCAGTTGGCTGTGCTACACTGGGTTCTGTGTCCGTGTGTTGCTTCTGCCATGGCCGTGCTCGGTGGCACGGCGGATCGAATGAAAACAAGGAAAGAGAGAGACGGAAAAGAGAGAGCCACAAAAAGGAAGAAAGATGGAGAGCCACGGGGGGGGGCCTGTAGAGGCTGCAGACGACCTTTCAGAGACAAGCTTGTATTTGAAGTGGGATTCAGAAAATGGGGAGGATGACACAGGCGAGAGAGAGAGTGGTGGAAGAGGGGAGAGGAGGGAGGAGACAAATGAGTGGGGAGACAGAGCCGGGGAGGTGGAAGTGGGTTCTGTCGTCATAGAAGCTTGAAGGACGGATTAAAGCATTGTGGAGGTCGACAGGGTGAGCAGAGAAGGATGGTTCCACGTTTTCCTGGAGACAGGTTTCAGGAGCGTGCAGCCGAAAGACACAGAATCATGCAAATGCCACTGATGAATAAACCTCGTATTCTAAAAGTGCCATGTTAGGCACTGGTGTGTTCCGTTTGTGTCCTTAATGTCCACATGCATGCACAACTGAAAAGGCAAGACAATGATTTTGATTGAAAGAAAATGAATCAGCAACCACTTTGATAAGAATTTTTCTTTATTTTCAAGCAAAACTGCCAAATAGTTACTGGTTCCAGCTGCTTTTCTTTCATAATTCATAGCAACTGAAGGATAATCTTAAATAAGGTGCTCACTTAGACCTATGCAGAGTCTACTGTATCTAAGCTTTCGGTCTAAAGGACCTTCATCAGAGCATACAGGGTTCAGCTGGAATGTTGTGATGTTTTTCAGAACCTCTTGGCTTTTTTTTTTTATAGACGATACGATAATCAGTTATACAAGAAAGTAACCGCCAGATTAATCAATAGTGAAAATAGTTGTTAGTTGAAGTATATAAAAAATGTTTAAATTGTCTTAGCTCTCTACAGTACGCTACATTGGGATAAAAAGATACCTAGATACCTACTTCTTCTATGTTATTTCCTTCTACATTTCGATACAGTTGAAGCTACTTTGGAGAACATTCATTTTGTGTTGATTTGGGCCCAGTGGACTAAAGCGGTAGCGGAAGCCGGGGGAGCTGCGAGGCGAAGCTCCAACTGCAGGTCGAAGGTGGCAACAAAGCCGGATCAGGGTCCGTCAGCAGTGGGCTGATTGCTGCCGGTGGAATAGTTTGATCTGATTTCGTCGGCCCCGATGACAAGCGTTAACAATATAGAAATAGCTAATCCTCTCGCTGATGGTCTCGTATGCTTATGTGGGTCATGTAGAGGCATTAGAATGAATTTGAAACTGTTTTATAACTATCTAAAAGTTACTTGTAGCAACTTCAAAGACATTTTTTTTTACATTAATTTGAATGAATGTGGCTCATATAAAGCCCAACAAATCGTAGGCTACATGAGAGCTAAAACATAGATGACATATTGGAAACACAGTTTTAGTTCCGTCCTCTCCTCGGTGCACCACTGCCATTAAAAAAGCCCTGTGTTTGTTTTAGCCGCTTCTGGATGAGGATGAGGAGAGGAGTCTGGCACTGAGACTCATCCAATTGATCAAGGCAAGCAGGGCCACTCTAATCAGCTAAGGCCAGCGCCCCCCAGGAGAGAAGAGAGGAGGGGAGGGGGGTTAAAAGCAGCAGGGTATAAGAATGATAGAAGAGGGTGAACAGACAGTAGAAAAAGAACAGGGATGCAAAGTAAACACAGGGGACCGGAGAGAAAAGCAGAAAATACAAGAGAATTTTATTTTGTAATTTTGTAATATTTGATATCTAAAAATAGATACATTTCCTTATCCACAATCTGTAATCCCTTCCTGCTTCAACTTAAAATACATTGACACCATTTTAATTCACATGTGTCTTCATAACTGGGCACAGAAGGGGAAAAACGACGAGGACGAGCGGTGAAGAGGAGGGAGGTACAGAGTGGCTGCTGAGAGAGAGATGGAGCTGTATGTATGGTCAACAGTTTGTGCCGCCTTCAGCATAATGAGTCTCTTTTCTCTCAGCTGAATGAACCACTGAAAAACCACCAATTTACTAAATTTTTGAAGAGCCAAGAAGCACGCTTAATTGATTGAACACCTCCAGCTGCTCAAAAAGCAGCATTTCTGTATTTTCCGCTTGTTTTATTCCTGCTAGCTGATACATTGAGTTTGTCAGATGCTGCATAAAATTTCATATGTGCCTTCATTTCAGTCTCTCTTTCTTCCTCTTTTTTTTTTTCCACTGGGTCTCCCTCTCCTCTGTCTGCATTTGATGGATGGGTAGATACTTCTGGACTGTCACACACCCTGACAAATATCACGCCCCGAGGAGGCGTGTGGAGAGCGAGAGGTGAGGCTCCGCTGTCCTTTCACGAGAGTCGCACAACACCAGGGAGCAAACGCTGGGGTACGTTTTCACATTTAGAGATTATGGGTGTTGTTGTTAAAGATAGAGTAAGAAATGACAGGAAGTCGGGTAGAACATCTGCACAAGTGTATTGAACTTAAAGCAAAAGTTTGATACTTTTTGAAAGTATACTTCACTTTCTGGTGGAGAGTTGGATGAGAAGCTGGATACTTGATACTGTACGGTAAAGTAGGAGGCTACAGCCAGAACCCAGTTAGCTTAGCATGGAGACTAGAAAGAAGGGGAAACAGCTAGACTGGCTCAGAACCCTGAACTAAGTTTTTATAAGGCATCAGAATGAAGAATGGGAAAACTGTGGGTCCTGACACTCAGTATGCCGAAGTGTTTTGTCCAAATTTCAGTTTAAGGCTGACTCTTTCTGTAAGTTAAGCTAAAGCATGCAGGTTAGGGTTAAGTATGCGGAAGTGCCAAAAGGTTCATCAAAAGGCCACTTGAGGTTGGCTCCAAAAGCGAGTCCATCTCAGTAGACCCCCGTGTTAAAATGCCCAACTTTACAGCAGAAATGAACATGTTTACAGCTTGGAACAAAAAAAACGTTTGATCTCTAAAACTAATATTCCCGTTCATGACGACTGTACAGGTGTGAATTTGAATACAACTCACCCGTTTAGAATATATGAATGAAATCGGATGTTTTCAGCTGCTACAGGCATTATGTTTGTTTGTTTCAGTCCTTGGTTGCATATTGTGGCGCCAATCGTTTTCCCATGCGGTGGGTGTGGTTTTCAGAGTATGACACGTTGCGTGTTACATCTCTTTAATCAATAGGTCATGCGCAATACCTGCATAACAGGTCATGTCTATTGATTATGAATACATTGTAACATTGGTTTGTGAGACTCTGCTTCCTTCTGTATGAATCACAGGTTGACCTCATTGAATTAATAGAGAGAGGGAGGTGAAAGAGAAAGAGACAAAATGGGAGACTAAATGAACATTATAATAATAAAAACGCCCATTAAAAAGTACGTTAAAAAGAGTCCTGCAGCAATTTAGCATTGAACTCCTGACATAGTCTGACTCACGATGTAAAAAAACTTTGTTATTCTTCCATGTCTACGTCTGGTGCGACATTACCAACAATAAAACAGGTTGGTTTGAAGTCTTGGGTGTGTTATGGCAGTAGCTAATGTAGCCTTAAGCTGAGATGATTCAAGCTGAGATGACTCAAGCTGAGATGACTCAAGCTGAGATGACTCAAGCTGAGATGACTCAAGCTGAGATGACTCAAGCTGAGATGACTCAAGCTGAGATGACTCAAGCTGAGATGACTCAAGTGCCACCAGTTGAGTCATATTTATCAGACATCACGCAGCTTCCTCTGGAGCCACAAAAGGCTTAATACAACTTTTCTTTTTCCACATATGAGGTAGTAATCCCCCACACCTTTTAGCACAAAATGGCTGCAATATCTCTGTATTTATGGGGTTTAATGTAAGTCATGGATCAATACCAATGACTCAACAGTTACTTCAGCAGGTGCTGAGCTTTTAGGCTATTAAAAACCTACTTTTCAAGCCTCTGATGGAAATAACACATCCACATCTTTGCAATGACGAGGACGATGTGGGCTGCAGATTATTTGCATTATGATATATTTTGTGGGTGTTTCTGTTGGATTCCTGCTTACTGTATTTGTTCAATTGAGAACTTCACCATTATGTCCAATTCAGGCCACCGTAATCTGTGCCTGACCCAAACCACTGAATAATGCTCTTTAAGTAACAGGGTGCTGATGCGATTGGATGCGTCGAGGACAGACTGACGTGACCTCTGCTGAAAGGATGTTGAGTTAGCGTGCCAAGTTTCCACAGAAGGAAGATCAAACAGAAAAGTAAAATGAGGAAAAAAAGAAATGAAGGCCAGCGTCAGAAGCATACTGAGCAGATGACTGTGTGAAAAAAAATGGGGCAGGAGGAAAATGGAGAGCGAGTCGAGTAAGAAACAAGTCGGCGAGGCATTAAAAGGGGTGGGTGACACCAGGGAGATAGATCGGGTGAGACAGAGAGACTCAAGATGAACACAGCATGCGCACACACACACACACACACACACACACACACACACACACACAGGGAGAAAAAGAGAGAGGCTGATGGAGCAGTCGATTGTCACTAACAGCCTAGAGACACACACATGCACTCACTAACAAGCACACACACAGAAATTTGCTCCTTAGTCACACGACATGTGCAGTTGCCTGGATGCAAACAACAGTGACAGCGCACCTAAAGCAGGTAGAGAGAGAGAGAGAGAAAGAGACAAAGGCTGAGGAGGGTCCTTTGTCACACAGCAGAGAGCACGCAGGTTAACACAACACAGGCCTTTGTTTCATGCTCCACTGCTCTCTCCAGGGAACACTGGTCCCTGTCATCACCAGCACCCTGGTTATACCACATACAGATGCAGTATCGTACACCTATATTTGTAAATGTACATATGCTTATGAAGAAATGCAGGGGGGTGACAATAAGAGACAAGATGGCACGGCACTGGAGAAAGAAGAGCTAAACATGGATTTCAGGGTTCACTGCCACATAATCTAAGGCCGCACTACATCTCTTTAACTTGCAGAAGTCAAAGGAACTCACACCTGACTGACCGCGAACAAGTTAACGCAAGCAGCCGTTCTTAAAATAGATCTGCGAGGCTGTCGAGGGGTTTGTCCCACGACACCTGGCTGGCCACTTAAAGCTGGATGGAGGTATAAAGGGATGTGCATGGAGAAAAGAAACGGTAAAGAAAGGACAGAGCCTCGAGGGAGATCACTGACTTTCTAGGAAAAGATGAAAAAGTGACGCAAGCACAAAGTTTTGAGCAGGACTGCTCTTTCCACAGCAGACACACAAGCCAGAGCACAGCGAGGTTTGACCAAACTGAAAGTATAGGATGACAATGTCAATATGCAAGATGAGGGCTGCAACTAGAGATTACATTCATTACGATTTAAAGTAAGAATTGCTTTTCTATTGATCAATTAAATCTATAAAATGTCAGAAAATAGGGGAAAGTGATCACAGTTTCCCAGAGCTTGTTTTACCTGACCAACAGTCCAAAAACCTAAATATATTAATTTAACTGAAAAAGAAGTCGTTTGACACTTGGGAAACTGGAACCAGTAAACTGTTGCCACTTAACGTTCTTTTTGATTAAAATGGATTTTCGGTTTGTAAAGTGTCTTTACTCTTTGATCGCTGGGTCACCGTCATCACCTCGGAGTTACAGCATTATGTTGATGAACAGTAGAGCTGCATTCACATGCTCCGACTGTCATGAAGACACAAGTCAGACATTTAGATGAAACATGCTGAAACAAGTTATTCCTGTTGCACAGCAGTGGGTCGCTTCACACACAGTCAGCACACTGAGCACAGATAGTGAAGAGATAGAACTGCTACTGTGTAAAGGGAATACTGCTGCTAACAACAACCTGATGTGTTTAAAGTGTTTAAACCAAATGTTATTGCCCTTTTGTTCATATAGCAGTACTTTTAAAATAAAAGTGCACAATACACTACTTTTGAATTCATTATTGAACTTTGCCATAACAATGCGATTAATCGCGATTAATCGCAAAAAATACATGCGATTAATCGCGATTAAAGATTTTAATCGTTGCCCAGCACTAATATATATAGTATACAACACTGACACCATTACTGTGTGACGTGTCAATAAGCCTGTTAGAACAATAGATTTACGTAACAGCAACAGACCTCAAACCTCCAAATGCACACATGAACACACGCACTGTGCACACACAGAGCGCTGCTCCAGGGTCTGAGCTCATCGACTTGACACCACCGTGCGCAGCATCAGAGGAAACACTGAGCAGAGGTTTGACGGCGAGCATCTCGTAACGAAAAGGAGAATTAAAAAAACAAAAACAACGACACTAAAACAACAGCCAGGGAGATAAAGAGCACTCACGCAGCTCTGCTGGATCAAACCGGTTTTCTCCACGTCTCCGTCTCCAACCCAGAATCCACCGTCAACTCGCCAAACATCAAACCTCGCCATGCAGATCATCTGGTGGTTGCCATGCCAACAGTGAAGCTTTCATCTTGTTTCCGCACTTATCCCCGCGTCCTTTTGTTTGTCGAGGCAGCTCCTCCTCACTGTACAACCCTGGTCTCCTCGGAGTGTGTGGACTGTTTGTTCAAATCTTCAGTGAACGGTTCTCTGTGTGTGTGTGTGTGTGTGTGTGTCTGTGTGTGTGAGTGTGTCTGTGTGTGTGTAGGATGCGTAGGCGCTAAACCAAAGCACCAAACAGAATGGAAGAAGCTTAGATCTACCTTTTTGAGGCGAGAGAAAGACAAGAGAGAAAGTGTGTTTGTTCATCCTTTAGCTGTACTCACAGACAAGAAGACCACCTGATCAATTAATAACCTCTAATTATGGCTGATCAATACACTTTCTCCTGACATCTTCAGCTCTTCTTCTCTGTGAGACATAAACGCATTACGAGCTGCTGAATCGCCCATACAGGTTTAACGCTCTGCTTCGATAATTAGCGGATTTTGCATCGAATATCGATGTCTGGTGTCGACTAACCCGATTTGACACTTAAGAGATCAAAAGGTGGAACGCGCAGCCCTGACTGAACACACACAATCACACGGGCATCCAAATACATTACGCAATTTATAATCTGTGTAAAAGCTGCTTGACAACCCGCAAACAGCCGGAGGGTTTGGTATTAGTTATAATCCAGCCTTTTACATGATGAATGGAGTGATGGAGGGAGGGAGGGAGGGAGGCGTGGGGGGGGGGAGGCAGAGACAGGGGAAAGAAAATCAACAGCGAGTGTGTTGACATTAGAAATGCTGCTTTGCTTTCATCCAGTATGAACAACGGGAGTAAGCGGGCCGAGTCAGTGGTGCTGTTTTTCAGAATTTGAGAGAGTGCAGGGGAATACTGTGCAGTAATCGAGAGCCATCGTAGACAGACTGTGAAATTGAGGATGGAGAGATAATAGCCCGAGGCTAATCAGAGAAGAACGGAAAAGAATCTTGTGAAATTAGTATTCATGGATCGCTGTGTGAAGTTGTTGCGAGCTCTCATGGTGTTAACACAAAATAAACCATTTATGCTTGTGCACAAAATACCTCATCCATTAATGCCCCCCCCCCCCCCCCGTTTTTGACAGTGATGTGCCACACAATAGCTGCATCAGCACAGACACTGAGCAGAATTAGCGTATGAGTTACATGACATGACAAAAGGGTGTATTTCTAACAGCGCGCTCTGCGTGTGGAAACCTGTAATCTTTGCTGTATCAAACTTTCTGCGTCTGTGATCTCAAAAGGCAGCAGTGCTGGTGGTAAGTAAGAGACGGATCCTTTCGTCCATCTTAAGAGGAACAACCATGAAACAAGTTGTCAGATAGCATCTTAGGGTCATTCGAGATAAGGCTGCACATGCAGAAACTCACGGAAACCAAACTTAAATGGATGCAACAGTAAAGGCGTATCTTAACGTTGTTTATATGCGTCGACGTGTTCATTTTGCACAGATGATATTGGATCGTTGATCATTGAATTGATATATCTTTCAACATCAATGTATCATTACACCCCAACTCTCTACTGTGTATTTAACTGTTTTTGACAATGAATAAGATGTATTAGGCTTTGGCTACACAGACATAACAACAATATTGTCAGTATGACTAATTGTTGGTTTGGCATGGGTGAAGTGCACCTCTGGCTTGCACAGTGTGTGCATTACAAGTGTGTGTTCAGTGTGTAGGCTTCCTCCCTTCTCTCTCACGTTAACTTCCTGTTTTGGCAAACGGATGCATCTTCAACAGAAACACTTCTTTTTCCAGCTTTTTCTAGCTCAGCTGTTGAGTCGAAGATGTGCTTTCGTGAGTGTGCCTTTATTGAACTCATATCCTGGTCAATAGCTGGTCAGCGAGTGCGCACGCACGTCACAGTGACGAGCGCCAGTGGCTTTTTCATTTTAACGCCGAGCATGTGGATATGGAGCGTGAACATAACGTGTGAATGCATTTGTGCATGTCCTTTCACGTCAAAACAGTGCTGTGTGTGTCAGTTATCTCACACACAAATCCATAAGCAAAATCACGCTTCTTGCAGCATCAGTATCGCAGAACTCAGACCACACTGACACTACATGGCCAAAAGTATGTGGACGCCAATAAGTGCTCTGGGTATCGACCGATACCGAGTATCGATCCAATACCAGCCGCATGCCTCACTGTGTGGAAGTGACTGGGTGTAACAAACACAGATATAAATGTACTGAACAGTTATATTAAAATAATGGTATCCGAAACCAGATCGGCCCATTGTCAAAGATACCCGATCAGGCTTTTTGAGTCAGTATCAGACTGATATCAGTAAAGGTGCATCTCTAGCTCTGGTGTCTGGCTTGCTGGTGGTGCTACGTCTCTTAAAGACTTGGCTAAAGGCTGGCTCTGCCCTTCGTCTTATCATGTAATGATCTGCTTTCAACCTCAGAATAAAACTCCTGTCTGGGGAGCCAGATGTCTGCAACAGTATGACAAATCATTAATTTATATATTGATAAGGAGAAGTTGAGGTCCAACAAGAATTAGCTGGAACGCGCAATATTCTCTCAACGTCACGTCTCAAAACAGGAACAACACACATATCCCATTCTTTAGTGTAATTCATCCTCCAGGGACCTCTCAGAGTTCACATATACACTGTTTTATCTGGCTCAGTTTTGTATCATCATTGACATCCTACCCGAGTAGGAGGAATAACCCTGGTTATTACTATTGTAGAAGTAATGTTTACAGAAGTATTGCACAGGTAGGCAGGCAGGTAGGGCTCTTATCCAATCACATCGACTTCTTCAGCTTTACACACACACACACACACACACACACACACACACACACACACACACACACGCATGTAATCTTTGTTCATATTTTAATCCACAAACAAAGGCTTATTCAGGTGGTTCAGCTGCCACTGTTTGCTTTTACCCTCACAGCGATTTGTGTATTTAAGCTTAAGAAAGAGTACTCCCCTTCATCTACCAACACACCTCAGTGGGAAATGTTGGTGCAAGAGTCACAAAAGCAGAATACAAAAATGTATACAGACGTACGTCTTTGCATTCAGACGGAGTCACGTGCATATATTAAAGATGTGGATGAGTTGTGGTTGAGTAAGAGAGGTCCAGATGAAGGAGATAAGAAAGTGAGGCAGGGAGCTGCTGTTCAAGGCCTTGGATCAATTCCAGCACTACTACCACCTCCCACCGACACACACACACAAACACACACACACACACACACACACACACACACACACACACGGTCAAAGCAGGAGAGGAGAAGTCTCACCTTGAGATTTTAGAGGCATTCAATCTCCTCTTGCAGCACAACCTGCAGTCATGGTGCTAACATGCCTAGAAAAACAGAGACAGACACATTTGTTTAATGGTTAACGCACAACTGTTGTCATCTACTTTCAAACCAGCCACGGTTGTTTCCCTGTGAATCAACAAAAAGATGTTAGCTAATGTTGTGAACTTGTGTCTCGCATGAAACAGCCACACCATCAGATTTAAATGGGACATACGAGTGGTAGGCGATAAAAGGGAAAAAACAAGGTCAGTGTCAAACAAAACTCCTACGATTATTTCCACATAATGTAGCAGAACATATTTAATCACAAACCTGTATTAAAAGCCACATTACTACTCTTTCAGAAACCAGTTCACACGAGGATGCTGAGCAGGAAAGTCCCTCTAAACTATCCGACAGGTATAAGCAACGTCGTCCAGGCCTACGGTGGTCTATCCCTGGAATAAAGAGGGGGATTTGGTGTGAGTAGGTGACACACAGATAAAAGTCTGGGGTGATCGATGACATCCCGTGTGGCTGTGATGCTGTGGCCTGCTACCGGAAGGGGGACCAAGATGAGAGGGATGAGTAGCTCATGTAGACCTGTACAGTTCACAGCAGGGTACCATGAAGAGCCACAGATCCATCGGCCGCCTGCCTACACAGTGCATTAAAACTACAGGAGTCCACACAGCTGTGACAGACAACATTATCCAAACACGGAGGATGTTACAGCTGAAACAGACACAGAAATGTGCTTTAATAGGGAAGCACACACACCACAGTACACCGGGTCGTATACTGTAGCATCCTGACAGCTTCATTTCGTGTGTGATGCTCATGCTTTTCTATTATCAACACTAAGAATCCAAAAATATTCAAAGCTACGGCTCCCGTGGCTCCATCCTGCCTCTTTGTCCTCCTCGGAGACTGCGCTGATTTACGGCTGTCACCCATGGACTTAACAGCTGATGCTCAAAACAAACCGGGGTGGGGGGGGGGGGACACAAAATAAGGCAAACGCAAGTTTAATCTTACCGTAGTTATCGCATCTTCACGTGCAGGCCACTGGTCCGCTCTGCATCCAGGCTTTGAATCTTTGCGTAATGCGATGAGGATCCCTGCGTGGAGCGCGTTTTGTGTGCGGCGCCGGGAGCCTGCGGAGGTGACGGAGCGCGGCGGGCTACCGATGGGGCTGGCTGGCCTGTGCACTCAGCGAGAGTCAGACAGACACTGATCAAACCCGATCCCCCCCCCCCGCGCGGCTGCTTTTTTTTTTTACGCCACACGAGCTCTGGGCGTGTATTATTTTGGTGAATGGGGGATAGTCAGCGCCACACACCCCTTCTCTTTCACCATTTAAATGCTATTTACTGCCCATAGAAAAGCGTCCCCAGCGTCGGTACTCTGGTGATTCATATGTTATTGTGTTGCTGCAGGAGAGTGTGAATTGCGTCATGCCGTTGCAGCTTATGAGACGCGGATTCCCCTCCACAAACAGCACGAACAAACTCGCTTTAATAAAGGCTGCCAGACAAACGAGCAGCAGGTAAAAACACCGCCGCTCAAATGCAAAATCAGGCTATCCTCCTCTAGGTTGATGTCATTAAAAGCTATATCAGCAAAAACTGCAGACACAACCTACACCCGGATCAGATCCGCCAGGTGCACCGTGTTACTGCTGCCGGTACATCCGAAATCCGGCCGGTTTATTCTGAGAATATCTGCTTGAACAGGCTGCCACCTGGCGGGCTGAGGTGAGTGTTGCATCCCCACTGAGAGCACAGAGGCGTCTGTATGCACAGCCACCTGTAGCGAGGTTATTATTACAGATCCTGATCAATCTGAGAGGTGAAGGGATCCATCTAGTGGACACTGGTGCTTCAGCCACAACTAATACTACAGTAAACATCAAATATATCTGCTGACCAAATATAAGCAACTTTTTTCATTTTCTTTCTCTTAATTTCCATCTGAATCTTCACATAAAGCACGTTTTTTTTTTTGTCATTTGAGTAACGTGCTATAAATAAAGCTCGCTTTGCTCTTTTCCCCATGTAGATCGTATTCACAATGTTTCCTATCAGAACCCTAAAATACCGATGTGTTAGCACTCATTATGTTTTAAAGGCAATATTTATTATTGTTACATTTAACTGATAATTTGTAGTGCAGTTCATGTCTTGGTTTGGTGAGTCATATTTCTTTCATATTACTTTACAAATCTTTAAATAGAACCTTTTGTACCGCAATTTATTTCGCAAGTTCTATATAAATATATTATATATATATATATATAAAATATGATAATCAATATATCTGTATAATAAATCTGTATGATAATCAAAATATGTATATTGTTACCAAAAGGGTCAA